CTGCTTTGTTTTGATGAACACAGTAGCCCTTGGTAAGCTTCCCCAGAACACTCAGGGCAAGCAGGATTATTATGCAATGTACAGAAATTATTATAAGTTGCTATAAGTAAATAAGTCGCAAAGTAGATGATCGTTTCCTTGTATCAGTGGCAGCACATACTACAAGTGTTGATACTGATAGTATTGCTGAGCTTCGGTATGTAGAGGTGAAAGTTCTCATAAACAGGCCTTGCTCTTTAATTTAACCAGGTCTGGAGACATCTCAGTTTTCCAACTGATCCTGTGTATGGATACACGGGAATCGATACCAGCGGATGAGCCAGTGTTACACAAAGTGAGCAAGCAAATGTTTAATGCAAAGGATGCATATAGTATAAAAAGTTTTTGCTCCCCTCTTGGGACTCTGCTGTCTTATGGATGCTCATAGTCTTGCAGTTTAATCCGGTGCCCAGCTGTGTCCACTGATGGCAGTTCTGTTGCAAGGTGCCAGCACTATACAGCTTTCCAGCCCTCTGTGAGGGACTGTGTCAGACATTTTGTCTCGGCATTGCTGTTACACCATTACCACCACCCCCTGCCCTGAGCCACGGAGTGGTGTGAGATGGCAGCTGTGTGTTTCAGCCCCGCAGCATTTCATAGGCCAGGCCTTGACGTCCCATTGCCGGGAGGACAAAATCAGCCTGGAGCTAGGAAGGCTGGGCGTGCATGCAGGGCTGGGGGACGAGGGGGACATGCGGAGGCTGAAGGCATCAGTGGCTGACACCCCCCCTCAGTACCACCACTGAGGGTATCTGGGCATGTGCCCAGGGGGAACACGTGCGGCCCATGTGCGACTGGCAACGGGCGAATTCCTGATGGGGGCTGGATAAACGGGGCTGCATGTGCCTCTCTAGTGAAGCTTCTCGCTTGCGGTAGTTTTTCCTTTGCCTTTCCTCTATTGCTCTCTGAAGCTTTCACTTGCCGATGTTCTTTCGCTTGCTGTGCCTTCAAGTTCTCTCTCCTGCCGTGCCTTCTCACTTTCACCTCCATAGCTTTCATCTTCCGAGCTCTCTCGCCTGCCTTTGCCTGCTGGCTCTCTCTCCATCTCCTGCCCCAGGACCAGACCAGCGGCATTCATCCCCATCGACTAGCAGGGGATTCTCCCCATCGCCTGTAGAGGATTCTCCATCACCTGCGGGTTCCCCTCGCCTTGCACTGGGACCAGACCCATGGCACGTTGCTAGACACGTGGTGGCAGCTTTCCCCATCAGCTGCAGGAACCGCCCCATTGCCTGCACCGGGGTGGTCCAATGCGACACCGGTAGACTCGTGGCAGTGGTAACTAGTGTTGCTGCATCTCTTTGACAGCTTGCTTAGGTATTCTGACTTTTCCTTTCTTCTTCCTTCTGTCCTGTCACTATTACCGGTTTGTTTCATGAAATAAAGCTTACAACGTTGTACAGCAGCTGAACTCATTTGTGTCTTAATCTCGCTCTTGGGATCGTTTAAGAACCCTCCCCGATCTTAGATTGGGACATCCTCCCAAAGGAAAGGAAATTTAGATGGAAATTCTGGCAGTGAGGCAGGTTTGGACTTAGAGGGCTCTAGGCTTGGGGGAAGCATGTGTGCGGACACGTCATTCCCCTGGGTGATGGGCTGTGCAGAGCCCTTGGTGTCAGAGTGAATGCCCCCCAGTTTTAACCAGGGGCAGTAAACACAGGGGTTGGAAGCAAGAGCCAGTTTCTAGGCTCAGAAGTTAAAATAGCCCGAAATCAGTGTTCCAATAGAAAAGGTTGCTTTTCTCCTCGAAGTCATCAAGCAGTCCAAATACTACAAACAATTTGCCATTTTCTGGCAGCTTTCACCACAGTGATTTAAAATCACTTATTTCTGAGCAGTAAGCAAGCCCAGCAAAATCCTGGTGGTTGTCAGGGCTTGGCTCCAACTTAATGGGCTCCAGGTTTGCTGGGCACCCAGCAGCCCGTGGTGGAAACCTCATCTCTGGGGTTTTGCCTTTGCTAGTCAATTAGCAGCACACAAAGCAGGATGATGCTGCCCTTTCAGCAGCTCAGCCGTGTGTAAAGAGTAAGAGGGGCGTGTGAAATGCATTACTGATTTGTAATTAATTTCCTAGAAGTGGTTTTGTGCTGTGGACGCTTGTCCACTGCCGTTGGCAGAGATCAGCTTCCTTGCGGATAACTTCAAACCAAGGACTTAAAAGCAAGATCCCTTCAAGCAAAGTGCACAATCTGAGCCAGCGTCGGGAAGGGAAGCTTGCACAAACTCACATGATCCAGAGCTAAAGGTGCCTGCCCTTCATTTTTAGGACCTCTGATTCTTATGTCAATATGAGTGAAAAGGAAATTGAAAAATTCCTCCGTGATGGTTGTCATAGCATTAAAGCCTGGCACGCTTTTCCCCAGCTCTGCTGGTGTCCTGGACATGCTCCACGGAGACGGCTGTTGTTAGCAGCTGGCACTTAAAACTTGATTTAGCAAAAAAACCCAATATGTTGTTTCATCCTGGAAACAGGAGGAGTGTGGTGCCTGCAATGCTGAGGGTTTACAGGCATAACCAGAGGGGGTTTGCAGTGCTTCCTGGGGGCTGTCTTCCCTACCTGCCTCTCCTGAGGCGGGAGGGGAGATGCAGGCAGCCGAGCACACCAGTGGGTTTCAGTGGGTGTCCCCCCGAGGTGTTTAAATCATAGGGCTGGAGCAGGCATCGGGGCAGTGCCGTGAGTCCGGCCCCACAGTGGCACAGAGCGGTGAGCACAGGGGACCAGAGACTGCTGCTCACAGAGCTGTTGCCACATGAACAGAGCCACAGCTCATTTACAAGAGACTCTAAAAATATCTGAAGGATAATCAAAGGCTCCCGCAGAACAGCATATGCGCTAACCAGACTTTTCGGCTCTCTGAAGTCCCCCCTTTGAAGTTTCAATCCAAGGGGAAAAAATAAGCATGCTGTCTGCGCTGCTGTCAGCTGCCCCATTTCTGGGGAGACTGGTGGTCCCCCTGGAGGTGTGCAGGGGTCTCCGGGAGAGCAGCCCTGAGGACAGGACAGGAATGGGACAGGGACCTGTGTGTGGTAGGGGATGGGGTTTGCAGACCCGTGCTCCGGGCCACCGCAGCACCTCGTGAGCTGCTCTGGAAAACTGGGGAGCAGGCAGGTTTTAGGTCTGAGCCGTCTTCTCAGCGGCATGTTGGAGCCCCTTCCTCCATGGGTTTATTCCATGTTCAGGGAAGTGGAGGAACTGGCTGCAAACCTCCAGGGCTAGCACTGGTAATGGCTTCGACACAGCTGCTGGATTAGGTGCCACTCGCTCCTGGCAGAGAGAGGATTACGGGCCAGTCCCATTTTAATTTTCAAATACTGGGGGGAAGGAAAAAGCTTCTAGTAAATCCAAAGTGATAATGAACAGCAAGGTCAAGAGAGGAACTGTTCTGCAGAGGCTATTGCTGCTTTTCAATGTACAGCGCTGGGAATTACTGAGTAACCCCGCACTAATCCTCTAAGCGGCCAGGATTGTCCCTGGCAAACTCGCCACCCGTGTTCAACTTCCTGTGAGGCAAAAACACAGCCCCTTCTCCTCCACCTCTGTGGCAGATGCTTCAGTAGAATCAGCCTAGCTGTGCAGCTGACAGGCTGGTGCAAAGCGAGCAGCAGCCTGGGGCCCCACGGACTCACTTTGTTGTTTCTACTTGTGTTTTAACACTGACTGTGATGGGTGAAGGAGTGCCCCCAAACTGTCAGAGAGGTAAATACTTCCCACTCCTGCCCCCCAAAAACTGTTCTTCTCTTACTTTTATGTGCTGTTTTTGATCTCTATGTCTTGTCAGGAACCAGCTTATTTCAGTGACTGTATTAGGTCAGCTAAGTAGGTATTCCTCCTTACAGATGCATGGTTTACAGAGTATCATCGGCACCACCTTGAAAGTACAGAGACTTGCGAAAAGACTGAACTCAAATTCACTTCTTAGTTTTGTTTCAAGATGGAGCCAGTATCTGGGAGAAAACCAGTTTCCCAGATTCTATTCCCTAATCTCTTCGCAGCTGCAGGAAAGTCTTTACAGCTCCATTTAGCTGCCACCATGCTGAAAAAGCCAATAGATACCCTGTGCTTGTCCAGGGTAGGATTCCATTGCCAACTGCTCCCCTTCTCATTATACACCCCCCACCTTGATGAGGCCCTTCAGAGGACCTGCTCAGTTGACTCACCCCAGTACTTTGTACCCCTTGCATGAAGCTGCAAGCAGAATGGGCTTACACCAGAGTAAACAACGCAGACACACTGTTGATAGAGTTTGGAATTATTTACTTGCAGTGATTTACATATTGTGCTGTAACATTAGACACAATGGCCAAACCTCATGCTCTGTATTTGTGCTTTGGACTGTGAGAACAATATAGAGTCTTGACAAACAATATCTGGCTTTGTACAATAAACACATAGGGACAATAAAGGACTGAATAAGCAGAAAAACCTTCTCATGCTGGAAGGCCACAAAGCACTATTTCACTTTGCTACTCTTCTTGCACAATTTGATTATTACCAATGGAAGAAACAATATAAAGGGTCAAGTATTAGTATTTACTCATCATGCTTATCTTTCAGCAAATGAACGAAATACATTTTGAGACTTAGTTAAAATCTGAAATACATAAAAAATGCCACCAAACCTCTGCTGTTCAAACGGACCTTCTAAAGAGCACAAGCAAGTATGGTCCAAGCCACCTTAGCTCCCAGCTCTTACTAAATGTCATCGTGCTTAACCCATCTTAGACATCAGGAAAATTTGGACAAACTTTGGGCTGTATTTCTAGAGCCCAAATTACAAACTCTTCCTTTCTGGGAAAAAATGGGTGTCTTTGGACACTGCTGCCAGGCAATACTGATGACAGATACTAGCAAAATGCAAAGTACTTTTGTTCGAGGTGTTGAAAGCACAGTAATTCCTGGGAGAATAGTTGACCCTGAAGATTTTCCCAGGCCTGTTGAAGGGAATTTTCCATTAATTTCCGATGTGTTACCTCTTTGCAAAGCACACATGGTTCCTATCACCTTGCAAGGATATTTGGGACAAGAAGTGGGGGGAAAACTGTGCACTGAAAAAGCGTTACCCTTACAGGACACCAGATGCAACTGCTCCTCCTTACAACTGAGAAAGCAGGCTGAGAGTAGTAATGAGTCTGAAACATCCCAGAAATGATTTAGTGACTATTGATGATCTGTGCTTTTTAATCTCTTCTACTGTAACACAAATTGCCTAAAATCAAACCAGGTCTTTTGTTGGGGAAGACGTAGCTCTGATGGCAGGTTGAGGCAAAGCAACATATGGCTACAATCCATGTTTTAATCAAGTAATTCTTTAGTGTAGTCACAATTTATTTTCTCTGGCCTCTCAGTCCCCTCCTCTGAACAGCAGCCAGAGCAGATCACCTCTGCCAGGTGATGCTGGATGCAATACGGGAGCTGCATTTCTTTCTGTTTTACAGTAGTTGTGTTGTGTGGGTTTTGTCACTGGACAGGGGACTGTGAATCCCTGTCCTGAAACCTGCAGATCTCTGGCCCTTTGTGAAAAGGATTGTTCATTCCAACCAGGTAGACTGCCCCCCCACCCCCCATTTTTTTCCCTACAGTCCCTTGGCTTCCAGCTTCTTCATGTTAATGGGTTATAGTAGGCAGAATAATCAGTGCAACCACTGAATAGCCACTGGGGACTCTTAATGGCTAATTTTGGTCACACACATATAGCTAAAGAACATTAATTGCCATAACTGGTTTTTTTTTTTTGCTTCTTCTCTTATGCAGTTTATAAGCAGCACCCTTTAATTTAAGACATGTTAGTGTTGCTCACTGATGCTCCTGTATTTACACCTTCAGGAGCTGAAAACCATGGGGCTGTCTGCATCGGTTCTCTGGCTTTATTGCACCTAAGTGACACTTTAACAGCTTGTGTTGCTGAAGCTGCTTGATATGATGGCACCGAGTTTCCAAATACTTTGTGTTTATATTCATGACATTGTCATCTACCACCAGAACTGCCCCCAGTTTGTCTGCCTGGGCCAGTTTAGCACCTCCGGCCCTTGGGGTGCTGGGGCTCAGGGGCATACAAGGGTTGCTGAACAGGCGATACAGGAGGTTCAGAGGGATGAGGACAGGGCCCTGGGCAGGTGCTGGAATGCGATGACAAACAGCTCCTATTACCAGAGTTCAAAAGGGCCCAGACTGAGCATCCCTGGCCCTCCCATACCACACGTAGCAGCATTCCTCCTGGTCAGGCCAGCCAGCACCCTTAACTGTGCTTGCTTTCATACCCAGCACAGCAAATGGCTGCCTCATTAAATAAACACCTGGTAGTCTTTGTTCAGCCTGGGCTGAATGGGAGAAACATTCTTTCAAGGCTAAAATGCAAGAGAACAAAAATGATCCAGCCGGGAAAGATGCATGCATTTTCACTCTTCCTCTTTTCCCCATTTAAATACCATTCCAGCAAGGGAGGGAACAACAGTTCGTTAACACTGATGGCACCGCTTTGCTCCTAAGACAGATTTGTGGTTAAGCAGTGTGCGTATACATATTTTTCTGCTGTAAAATGGGACATTGTTTTGTCACAGCAAAATAAGATTGCAAGAGGCAATTCCTTCAGATGCTATAGGATTGCTATCTAATTACGGGGTGTGCCAAAATCACCAGGGGCAGAGGCAGATAATACTGTTTACAGTCACCAAGATGTTATAAAAAGCTCATCTGCAGGAGGCAGAACTGGAGAAATCTCTTGGAAGCAAGGCAAATATTTGGCCCTTCAGGCTTTCCGGTGCCAGGCAAATATCCTTCTTATCATTATCCTAAAAAGAAGGAAGAATCACAGTGCTGCCAGGAACACTATGTAGAGTAGGCCAGAATTACAACAATTTTTGCGCTTAAATAGAAATGATGATTCTAAAGGTATATCTACAGGCAAATCATGAATATAGCAACTATTAAGAATTCACTGTCAACTAAAACCCTGTGTCTAGTTTATTCACAGCTTTTTGTTAATGATCAAAAATCCATAGAGCAAAACAAGAAGTCCATTTTCTTTTTGTTTAAATCCCCCTGGAGCAATATCAGAGATTAAAACATTGGGTGTAAGATTCATTGGTATACTTCGATTTCTGTTTGTTTGTTTTCTTGTTCGGTCAAAGATATTTTTATCACTCTCTTCAAAATGATCCTGTAACTCCTGGCCATAACCACCTATAAAGGGAATAGTAGTGTAAAGATAACAGTTGTCAGTCTCTTCACAGAATCACAGCATCACTGAGGATACAAAGGACCTCTGGAGATAATCTTGTATAAACCTACCTCTGCTCAAAGTCAGGTAAACTAGAGCAGGTTGTTCAGCGCTGTATCCCATCAGATTTTGAGTGTCTCCAAGGTTGGGGACTGCCAAAAACCTCTCTGAGCATCTTGTTCCAGTGTTTGATCATTCTCACAGTAAAAAAGTTTTTTTTTTCTTTTTTTTTTTTTTTTTCCATGTGTTCAAATGGAATTTCCTGTATTGCGATTTGTGCCCTTGCCTCTTGTCCTGTCACTGGACATCAGTGAAAAGCGTTTGTCTCCATCTTTGTTTCTCCTCTCCCAGATCAGGTTTTTATACATGTTAGTAAGTTGCTCCCCTGACCCTTCTCTTGACCAGGCTGAACATTGCCAGCTCTCTCAGCCTCTCCTCCTACAGAAGATGCTCCAGTCCCTTAATCATCTTCGTGGCCATTTGCTGTACTCTCTCCAGTAAGTCCGTATCTTTCTTGCACTGGGGAGCCTGGAACTAGACAGAGCACTTCAGATGTGCCCTCACCAGTGCTGAGTAGAGAGGAAGGATCACCCCTCCATGACCTGCTGGTAATGCTTTTCCTAATGCAACACAAGACACTGTTGGCCTTCTTTGCTGCAAGAGCATATTGCTGGCTCACGTTCAACTTGGTGTCCACCAGGACACCCTAGGTCCTTTTCTGGAAAGCCACTTCCCAGATGGTCAGCACCCAGCCCTGCACTGGTGCATGGGGTTGTTCTTCCCCAGGTTCATGACTTTGCACTTTTCCTCGATGAATTTCAGGAGGTTTCTGCCAGCCCATTTCTCCAGCCTCTCCACATCCCTCTGAATGGTAGCACAATCGCCTATTGTGTCAAGCACTACTCCCAGTTTTATATCATCTCCAAACTTGCTGAGGCCATGCTCTGCCCCATTGTCCAGGTCATTTATGAAGGTGTTCAACAGTGTCAGTCCCACTAGTGACCCCAGTCATGTCTAGTGACTGGCTTCCATCTGAACTTCATTCCTCTGTTCATAATCCACTGTGCCTGGTGCTTCAGCCAGTTTTCAGACTCCCCATGCTAACGTGATGGCAACCTTCACCTGGCAATCTGCCAGACATGTTTGACTAAGACATCAGAATGGGATGGATACTCGATAAAGTATAGCTTAATATTTTGAATTAAACAGAGTATCAATCTGACCCTGCCACTATGAATTTCTCTGAGTTTTTCAGTGCTACAAACTATACTGTTCTGTTTTCAGATTTTCGGATGCCTTGTCCCCAGGGAAGACTCTTAAAGCTGTGTCTACGGCTTGAAATAGAGCAGTAGGACAAGCAGTGTACTTATGGGGTCATAACATCATCACTGCCAATGCTAGACTTTTAGGCCATCTAGACACAAAAAAAGGACAGTAAACAGTAACATTTAAACCACGTCAAATCTTGAAAATGCACACAAAAAAACCCAAGCCCTGGAGAGACTGTCTGGTCAGTCAATTCCTTCTGTCTGGAGGTGATGAAATACATGGCAGTTCTTAAGGGTTGTCTTCAGGTAGTGCTGGTATGAGGATTTGAGTGCAGTAGTTAACTGTCAAATCAAAAACATCCATCAACTACTAAGGTATGAAATTATTCCACTTCTTTTGCCAAGTCTTAGATGTAGTTTGGAATATAATTAGAGTATCTGAAACTTTCTAACTCAGAAAAAAATCAAAAAGAGAAGATGTGAGTAAGGGTAAAGATTTGGTCCAAGTTTTTGGAGGTAACATCAACTTTGTGTCCATGTTTAGTGTCTTCCTGGGTGACACTGTAGAAAGATAGAAGATATAGGTATTCTGCTAAAGGATCCTGAAATGTTCAGATTTTTGGTAGTTTTAATGAATCCTAAATACAAGGTATCAAACACTCCAGGAAACAAAAGTAAAGGAAGGTACTTGACTTCTTGTTTGGCAGTGTTTGCTTCAAAGGCTGCACAGGATGATAGTGTTAACTGTCCCACTCTCCCTTCTTCCTCTGCTCTCTCCCTTAGTTCTGTATCTTTTTCTAGGTACCCATCTACTGCACATTGGCTTCACTCTCATGATGATACTTTGGGTCTAAAAAAGTTAATTTTGTGATCTTCATTTCTCAAAGTCTTTTAAAGTATTATGAAAAAGTGACTAGTTAAACATCTGCTGCGTGTCTGTGATTATGAAGCCAGCACTCATCAAGGGACTTGGGTGACAGTGGCAGATGCCAAGGAGTGGCTTACATTTCCATGATACCTTTGCTCCCCTCTGCTTCTCTACAGAAACAGGGACCTCATAGAAATGACAGTGGGCAAGCTAATAATATTAATTCAAACCATCCAGGCAGCCAAACCTCTTTTTTGAGAGAACCACTTGATTAGGCAAGAGATTGTCCTTTAAATAAATTTTCCAGACAGTTCCTTGGGCTAGGATGAGGCAGGAAAACCAGAGAAAGTGGTGTATGAAAAATGCTGTTCTGAGCGACTTTGAGGAGGGGAAGGTGGAAGGTGAAATGCAGCTTATTCCCCCAGGCTCAGAGGCCTGATGGAAATCTGACTGAGCCTACATGTGGAGCTGGTGCCACATGGCTATCTGTCTCCGGGGGTTCCTCAGCATTTCTTCCCAGTGGTTCCTCTCCGTTCCCATGACGTGTAAGCCCAGGTTGCACTTGCCGAGCACGTGGCTCTGCCCATCACCATCCTGGCTCAGCATTTCCAGCTCCACGCTGGAGGCACGCAGCAGCTCATGAGGCACCTCAAACATGATCATCTCATTCCACACAGGGTTGATCTTGTGTTTTGCACGTTTGGTCTGCTTCTTCTTCAGCTTCAAGGACTGGTGCCTCAGTGTCACCTTGACAGAAACATCTGTATAGGAAGTGGAGAGAGACACCATATTGATGAGCATGCAACAAAATTGATGCAAAATAACTTTAACTAGTGACATCAGACTGAGAGAGAGAACATAAGAAACTGATCTTGAAGGGTCTGGTTTTCACTTTTTAGAAATTAGTCAAATCTGTTTGGCTTTCTAAGCCAAACTTTTTTTTTTTTTTTTTTTTTTTTTTTTTTTTTTTTTTTTTCCTGTCAGATACCACCCTTGCCACTTTCTTCCTAGATTTACATAACAGCAGAAACAGCAGTCTCTGTTTTCTAGCTATTCTACTCACCGTTGCCAAGTAGATCTTTCAGCTGCTTGGAATGGAGATTTTTAGCCTTAATAATCACCACCAGCAGGCGGTTAGCTGCTGGCAGGTAGCTGATAGAGAGCAGAACCTCCCCACGGCCTGTAGACGGCTCCTAGAAATGGAGACACAGGAAGCTTTAATTTCTTCTACAATCCTGGCCATACCATTAAGAAAACTAAATAGTACAGGGTGATGGATAGAAGGTCCTGGACTGACCAAGTTGTCTCCCTGTCTTTGTACAGATCTTTCTAGTTACATTGGATGAAAATAAACCTGGCAAATATATCTGAGAGGGCTCTTCTGGTCATAAAGCCCAGATCATGTGAGTTACTGGTTTCTTTTGTTTTTGAAGAGTACTTGCTTCCTAACATCTACTTTTAGTGGACTATTTAGTCAGAAGAAGAGAATTTGGGGCTGAACTACATGCAGGTATACAGGTATTATTTTTTTAAGAGATTACCTAGCTGCCCGTTTTTAATGTCCCCTACTTCCATTACTGCTTTTCATATTTCATTCTTCACTTCAGCAGCTCTTTTTGTCAGGAGGGTCTGACCAGACGTGGACCTCAGCCCACCCTGCCTAGCAGGAGTGTAGGGCGCTCTGGGGAAGAGCAAGGCAATACCCAGGTCTGTGCTGCACGGTGAGACCTGGAGCTGGAGATGAACCTCCTCTGACACCCTTACTTGGTGTGGGAAAAAAAAAAAACAGCCAGTCTGAAATCCTCCATGAGCTCGGAACAATCCTCCTTCCCTGCCTGTCTTCCCCCAGGCGTGTGAGCAGCTCTCCCTTGAGGGATTTCCTCCAGGGCAAAAGCACTGAACCATCTGGCCGCTCTCTTCAGGGGGCCACACTTTTTTTTTTTTTTCCCCTTTTCTTTTATGCCTTTCTTCCCATTAGTGATCGGCCTCTTAGCCTCCTGACCTTTCTCCTCTTCCTTCCCCCTTGCAATGGGTCAGCGTGCCCGGAGGGGGAAGCGGCGGGAGGTGACCACAGCACCCATTGCTCTCGGCTGGGAGAGCGGTGCCGCTCCCTCCTTGGGAGCCAGCAGGGAAGGAGGGAAAGGCCATGCCAGCGTGTGCAGAGCTGCCAGCCTGTGGCAAGGGGCAAAAGCGAAGCAGTTATTCTCCCAGTGAGTAGGAGCTTGTGACAGAAATCTGGTGTAGTGTGAGGTTAATGACCCAGAAGAGTCCCAGAAAGCCAATGTCAATTCAATAGACTCCCTTTGGACTCCTTAGCATGATTTACACGCATTAGGACAGACGGCCCTTCTCCAGGCCATTTCTGTGCTCTGCACTCTCGCTTCTAAGTGAGCCATAAATATCTGAAATTAAATTTTCACCTGGTTACTCGTAACAGGCAAGGACAGGCCCCTGTATGCTCCGCATGAGCTGATTGACTCTCCAGAAAACATGGCTGTCATCGCTGTCTGGTTTGAATGACTTATTTGTCGTGCACAAATCAGGTGGGAGGCCATTAGTAAGGAAGCCTGAAATTCAATCCCAAATCAGCCAAAGTAAATCTTTTTTTCAAGCACTCGGGTAGCAATGAAGGGCTCATACGCCTTTCACTTACATAAATCCTGTCCTAAATCTAGGTGGATCTTAAAAAACCCCACATATAAACCCAGACAGAGGCAGATTCTAATAGCCGTGTATCCGTGACAAAAGAATAGGTGTTTGTACATGGAGAGACAAATACTACTTCAATACAAAACCACTTTTTAGGCAAGTCATAAGCTGCTTTTGTTTATTTATCCCCTCTACATCTCACCAGGTCCCACTCTATAGCTCTTGGCTAGAATTTGGTTCCTGTAGCTCCAGGCACAGATAGACACAGCGGAGATTGGGGGATAGGGGGTGGCAGGGTGCTGTAAACGTGCACACAGGCACGCACTCGTGGACACTCAAACACACACATTGCACATACGTGTCACATCTTGTGCTTAGGGCTTTCTAGCTCTTAATATTCTCATCAAGTTTTTGACCAGCCTCTATCCACACAAATCCAAAATCTACAGTGGCTGGTCTCTGCTGGAGTTTTACATGAAGAGACCAAGACAAAGGTACTTTTCCTTCCCCTTCCTTCTGGGTTTTTGGTTTTTTTTGTTTTTCCTGTTAAATCCATAACCTGTAGTTTGTGCTGAAACCCTGCAAATCCACACAAGCACTAGAGCTCCAGTTTCCTTTCCGTGCAATAAGGATAAAAAGCATCAGGGGGTCATCAATGAATGACGTGGTGTGCCGGGCACCACGAAATCACAAAAGGGAAGGTGCTATGCAAAGGAGCCACTCTCATCGCTGTCGTTAACAAAGCGCTGGGAGGAAAGGAAGACAAGATAAGGATATCAGTCTGCACTATCTAGGCTTTGCATTGCTCACAGCAGTCCATGAATTCCTGAATACTAATTACATTACCTGGTGAGCTGTAAGCTCCCCTCTGAGCTTGTGTGTGTGTGTGAGAGAATTACTGGGAAGGTAGGAATGAAATTTCTGCAGCTCATGGCTTTTCAAGGTAATGTCAGACTTTAAACAAAGCCCAGTAACTTTGTTCCTGGATGGATGCTGTCAAAAATAGCGCTTTTTTTTTTTTTTTTGATCAGCTCTTCCTCACTCCCTCCCGCTCTGGTTCTCGATGAATGATTCAAGATCTGTATATACGCTATCTGTGCAATGGTTGGCTCTCTCAGGTCCCAGATGACGCAAATTCAGCTTTCACTGCACATCCTCAGCTCAAACTGGGGCACTGTGCAGCCGTACTGTTAGTGTTAACCTTGTGCTGTCAGCCTGGAGAAGAAGTGAATGCTGCCCTCTTTCTATGCAGGAGAAGCTGGACCAAGGCAGAGTACCCAGCATGTCAGGACTCCGTCAGGTGTACTTGAGTGACAACTGACCACTTCTGTGAACAGGCTCTTCCTCGGGCATTGCTTACAAAAGCAGATACTACAGTAGATTAGTGGGACAGGGAGGGGTTCCATCTATCTCAGTTTAGGAATTTAAATCATTATATTGGAATAATTTCTTTTGGACATATCTTTTTACAGCAGCAGTCTGGGAATTCATTTCAATTTTCGGCTATGCTAGGCAAATGTTTAACCTTGTGCTTGAAGTTTATTAAACTGATTCAGACCACCCATTTGATTCTGCTGCGTTTTTCTCTGCCAGAGGTTTTCTAGAGTGGCCAGCCCTATTAGCATTCAAGTGGCAATCAGATAAACTAGCATTATTGGAAATAAGAAATGCTAACTATGTCTGTGGCCAACTCAGTGGAGATTCCTCACCCCTGACGGTGACAGGCAATAATTTGTATTTCAGCATGCTTCACGACAATGCTGGTGTTGTTTTGCATTGCTCACTCTGTGCTGTACCAGAGTACAATAGGTACCTGTTTGTAGCAATGTACTAGTAGCAACAATAGCAGCGCCCTGCTGCCATGCTCTTAAGTGTGTTGTTGCTGCTAGAAGACTCTCTAGTTCAGGGAAAAGGCTCCTGAGGAAATGTGCAAGAAGTTAGTGAAAATGAAGCAACCCCTGTACCTACTTCAAGTACTGTTGGAATCCTTCTCTCCATTTTCCCCGTCTGTGCAGCAGAGAAGGTGTGGATAAGGAAGGAAAGGGAGGTTTTGACATTTAAGAAAACCAACACATTGCAATGAGTGATATTTGACATCTCCCAGAACAAATAGCACTTCTGGACTGATCCCAGTAGGGATAAGTGGCCTTCAGTCAAATATTTCATTCCCATCAGTGTATTTCACTCCTAACTTAAGGCTCTCTGAGGTGCCACCATGTGCCCTACCTGAACCCGGCTCTGAGAGTCCCTCTGTTCCTGCTCTGTAGGCACTCTCTGTTCTTGCCACTGTGGTCCTGCACCGCTGATTCACAGAAACTCACAAAACATTTTTCTGGACATAGGCTTTGAATTACAGATATCAGTGTCAGATTTTCATGTCATTGAGAGAGGAGAAGAGGGAGTTTTGACACATCTTAATTCCTAGACTACCAACCCAGATTTAGTCCATACCTTCTCTGGGGTCTTTAGCCTTTCCCACTGGGCCATCCCAAAGGACTCCTCCATGTTAGAAAGACTCAGTTTGAGTTCCCCCACAATGCTGTGTCTGGAGAACTTGTCGCAGTTTCTCAGGGTGAGAGTCAGCGTCCCCTCTGGCATCTCCTCCTCTGTTAATGAGAATCGCAAAACCTCCTCCCAGACCGTGTGAAGTACCTTCTTCTTCAGCTCTGTCTGGGCCTCAGCAATACCTGATTTGCTCACCAGTGTACCCAGTATGTAGCAATGGCAGCCAGCATCTTGGTCCCCTCTCATTCTGCCATGCACAGCTGGAAAAGAAAGACTGATTTTAAGGACCTCTTACGAAAGAGAACCCTGAAATATCTGTGGCTAAATTGCTTATTTCACGAAAGTCATAAATCAGCTGCATACATATTGACCCCTGTTCCTGTTTGCATGGGGCAGACTAAGCTGTGAGCCCATGTTGTGGTTTTCCTCATGCTGCACAATGTCCTGTCCTTCTGCCGCTGCAGAAGGATCCTGTCAGTGTTTGGGGGAGAAACAGCTGAGTTGAAGTAAACATGAAAGATGCAGAGCAGCAATGAGATGCGACACAGCATGGCACAGGGACGGGCAGCTCTCATTTACTTTTTCCCTGGCATGCAAAGAAAGCTTCTTACAAAGTGTTTAAAAGCAAGATGGTCAGTCACAGGCATCAGAGTTGGGGGAGACCTCCCTCATGTCACACATCCACCTCTGCAGGCCAGTCTGGGATACATCTAAGGGTTATTACATTCTGCTTGTCCAGACTCTGGTAAATGACTCCTTCAGAGGCCATTCCACAGCTCAACTTTCATCCCTAATTTTATATCCCCTTTACATAAAAAGCCTAGAGTGAGACTGGCATTTCACACTCCTTCAGTTGCATTGCCAGCGTTGTGCTGCCTTCCCCACAGCAAGAGGAGCACACCTCCCTCCAAGGGCTCGTGGAACAGCATGGCTTTGTGGGCAAAGCTGATGCCCTTGCAGTCCGAGGACAGCTGCATCTGAGCTCCCAGGTCCCATGGTTTGTAAGGCTCTTCTGGCTTCCCAGGGGAGTGGAGCTGGGGAGAAGAGCTGGATCCTGCCCGGGTGAGTGGGGGCACCCAGGGTGGAACACGCATGCGGGAGAGCCCGGGTGGCACGGGCAGACCCGGGTGTCCACCCTGGAGGGGAGCTGTGGGCTTGCTGCTGGCAGGCAGCCCAGAGCAGCAGGTGCCGTTTAGCACCCTTTCAGTTCCTTCAGAGGGTGTGATTTGATTAGGCTTCCACAGAGATCTGCACTGTGTATGAATTATTCAGTCAGCTTATTTTACTTTCACAGAGGAACTGATAATGCTCCAGCCCTGAGCAGAGAAGCTGTTACAGTTGTCAGTTCCCACTTCAGAGAGTGACACAGAGCCTGGCTGGGTGCAGCCAGAGGGACCTTCCTCAGCGCCCCACAAGATAAGTCTGATATCTCCACCTCAGCCTTTCACTGCACTTGAGAAAGAGATTGTAGGGAGTGGGTTAAGTTGAAGAATGAAAGTTATAGAGAGGAAGGAGATAGCAACCCCCTTCCCTGAAAGGAAAAAATAAAAATAAGATGTTGCGTTGTACCATGTCTGGGGCTGGAGGAGCCCAGCCTGGTTCCTTCCATCTGCTTTTGAGCTGTGCAAACAATTTTTCCCAAGCCATGCCCTGCAGGCTCACTTCAAGCAGTGACATTGACAGGTATTTCTATTCTGCAAGCCCAGAACCAGTGAGACATCCAGTGGTCCTGGGGACACAAGTTGATTTTAAGGTAGGAGGCGATCTCTCTATAAAATCACAGATGTCTTGTAGCCTCCAGATGTAGAATCACCAGTGGAAGATCTCTCCCCCTTACCTTCTAGAAGGGCCACACGCAGCTCGGCTTTTTGTTGATCATATGCAAGGGAGTAGCGCAGCTCAGGGGCCTGGTTACAGCTGGCTGCCCTCTCAGGGTTCAAGTGTTCTGTGACACACACGTCCTTTACGACACCTGGAACCGAAATAACCCCTTTAGCAAGCAGGTCTTCACCTTCCAAGGAGAACAAATCCACATCTACCCTGTCGTGACTCAACTTTTCTAAACGTCTTACTATTCCTGCACCATGTATGCAGGAGTATAATTTATGTTCCTTCTTCCTCCATCACCATATCTCCTTTTTGCTCTGTTTTCTCACACTTTCAGCTCTTTCTACAGCAGTTGGACAAGCCTTCTGCTCTCTACTACCTTATGCTCTAAGATGGTTTACACACTTCCTCTTCCACCTTGTGCCTAAGCCAAGGTGTCTAAACTACACTCATTACTCGGCTTATTGTTTTAAATTGGTTTTAACTCACACTGGTAAATTAAAACTTGAGTTCTTTGGAATGAGAAATTGAATCTGCTTTTGAGCTGCCATGCAACTCTGCATTAGTTCAGACCTCTCTAAGCATTTTTTAATTTTAACAATCAAGTCTTTATTGATGCAGAAGACATCTATTTCCATAGCTCTTGACCAGGTTGAAGATAATGAACTTGGGGAGCTGTGAGACAGCTTCTCCACGTGTGATTTTGAAGTGGAGTACATATTTCATACTGAAATAAAGCAAGTTGCAAGACTAAAAGGGAAGCCACAGCTTTCTGTCATCAAAAGCTGTTATCTGCAAGGTCGGTTTTGATTCATACAGAAAACAATAGTGGGACCCGCCCTCCTAAAAACCTCAGCCACAGTCCAGACCTGTTCAGTGTGGCACTGAAAGGAAAACTCAATGATTCTTGGTTTATTTCAGCAACACTTGAGCTATGAAATCAGGCACAGCAGGAAGCAACTTGTGCCATTAGCAGTGTGGAGAGGCTCTTACACCAACACACTTATATAAAGCTTTAGCCTACATGCAGCCATCATCCTTTAGCCTCTCCACCCTATAATCTTCTCCCTGACATGTAAGGATGTGGCTCAGTCTCTTCCTCCAATGCAGCTGCTTCCCATGGTACTTTCTTTTCCATACTCACTAGTCTCAGAAAGGAGGGGTGAATGTAGCAAACATCCTCCCAGAAGGATAAAAATATAATCTCAAGCAATTTTAAAAAAAACGAAAAAGAGTTTTGTTAAAAAAAATCATGACAGATGGCATAGTGTCTCTGACAAATCTTCAGGAAGGTTTTATTAATGTAGTAACCATAATAGCCAATTATCCTGTTAAAGACATCTATGAAGGTAAAAATCAGTATGGAAGGAACCCAGACATGCTGCCAGATGTGTATAATTAACATTGTATTTTCTCTCAGGCTCCAGGAATCTTATGTTCCAGGCATTGGCACGTTACCCTTTGGGCTGGCTGAAAAACAAGAATTCTGTTTGGCAAAAATATCTGAGGTGTCAACCTTTGATTTCACTGCATATTGCAACAAGCCAAGACCATCTCACTTAACCGGTAGAAAAAAAGCAGCAGAGAAAATAGAGTAGAAGCTTGAACCCCTGCTGCCAATGTCCCGGGCAAGGACAGTGCTGAACAGCTAGCATTTGTCCTGGAGGAGATATTCCGCCTAGTTTTGGACAGGTATTTCACCATGCTCTGGCAACTGCTCTCAGTAAAATTACACTAAAAAAGCATTTTTCTACAATATGTCTGCTTCTAGCGAGCCAGATTCTTCAACACTAAAGATGTTTAGGTAAAAAAATTTTACAGCCAGACGGAACTACAGCTTTGTTATCTGAATGTCCTGCTGAGGTCTATGACTACTTTCTATTAAACATGTGCATTGAAGACTGAACTCACTTACAATGCTCATGATAAGAGAGTGAAAAGCACCCCATGTCTTCATTTTCACATATATTTCTCTAACTCCAATCACATTATGCTCCGAAGTATTACAGATCTACACCCAGAAAAGCAACTGTTAATCTGAAGACCAAATGCTCCTACCGTTTTGAGGGAGAACAAACAGCTCTTCGTTGACTTGTATCTTCATCCTGTTCTCATCCAAACCAGTATGTTTTCCAGGAGCTGATTCTTCTGTTGTCTTCAGGGAGTACTGCGTGTAGTTAACAATTTCAGGTGAAGTTACTACTGGTTTGGGGCCATAAATGTTGGGAAACTTCAGGAGTGCTCGAGGCTGGACTGGCTCTGCAGTTTTCTTAACGTTGAACTGAAAATTAAAACCTTGTTCATTACTTTGCACTAATTAGACTAATTCTGCTAATTGTCTCAATGTTAAATGAGCTGAGACAAAGGAAGAAAAGGTGGTGCCTCTGGTCATTCTTACCATCATTGTTTCTTGGGTTGAAGAAACAACTGCCTATATATCCAGAGATTTTCCTGCCAAAGCCAATACCCTTCTACCTGGTATATGTATTTTAGATTTACCTCTCTATGTATGTTTGATTGCAACAAAAAAAAAAAAAAAAAAAAAAAAAAAAACTTTATTTTTTGATTACTCCTCTGTTCCCCTATCAGTGTATCCTTCTTTCATGTCTGTGTTTTCTCTTAACACAGAAATCAACCATGAAGTTATTTTTGCTATGACTGACATATAATTTTTAACCTGGTGTCTGAAGTCAACTCCAAGATCAAGGGGTTTATAACCACCCACATATTTTAGAAGATTTTACATGAGTATGTAGTAAACATAAGAAAGGCAAAGGCATGGATCAGTCACTTGGGGCAAGTACAACCATGGTGTCACAAGATAGAAGAGAACTGGTTGAACAAACAAGCCTTGCAGTGGCATTCCAAGACTAGTAGATTCACTGGTCATCTCAGCATGTTGGACTATCTCTTGGCTCTGTGGGTCAGAGCCTCACATGACCCTCAGACACACATTTCATACCAGGATTGAAAGCTGGATTTATGTCAGAGTTTGTTCTTAACATTTCAGTTCTCTGCCAAATCGTGAACATGGAATGAGCTGAAGAATCTGAAAGAGTGTAGTGCTCTTTTTGTTATGTCATTTTTTTATGTCAGTCCTCTTTTCCATATGTCCCAAGAAAGAATCCTGTCTGCTCATAGCTGAAATAATTCCAGATTCATGTATAATTGCATTCATCAATGGGAAAGAACAAAAGCTGACTAGCAAATGACCCTGACCCTTGCAACGGATTTCAATAATGTTTCCAAAATGCAAAAGACAAAAAGCAGAAGTAAAACTGACATTTTGGTTGATTATTGTGCAGTGGGATTCTCTCCAACCCTGCTGCCTGCCAACCTGTTCTGTGTTTAGATCAAGGGTGAGCCAGAAAATGTTCATAATTGTAATTAAAGTTTTTCATTAGTCTCATTGTTGCCTATTAATAATGAATGTAGATAATGCCCTGAAGCACTTGTCTGTGTCGGGACTTTGTGGTCCCAGTTCACAAGTCCTGAGGGAGCCATACCTATTCCTCAAGAAATAGAGCTGAGGAAAGAGAGAAGTCTTGGGCTTCAGCTCTTTAGTGATACTCTGCTTAGGGAGACCATAGCAGTATGGTTACATGCACTTAGCAGTGGTAAATAACTAATTAGGTCAGCCATCTTCCCAAGGCAGGCAGTGCCTCAGTGTTTAGGAAGTCCACTATGTCACCTAGCATTTTGTCTTGTCTAAGGGCTGTGAAAGAAAAGTGGGCTGAGAGAGAGATGTCACTGTGTGCAGTCCCCACCTAGCATTCAGCTGAGTTTAGATATTATGTAAGTCATACAGTGCGGGTCTGTAAGTGAGATCCCTCTTTTAGAGATGTGAGCCTCATCAGTCCTAAAATAGACAGGAAATTCGAAGCTACTCATCCAAACCTTAAATGCAGTTTTCCATTCTTCTAAAATTAAAGCAGACCAGCCAAGCAAAATATGTTAGGAATCACTAGACAACAGCTTGGAAAAAATGGGTTGCTTTTGTTCTGCAAAAATGTTACTCCTAAGGTGCGGATGGTGCCTGCCATGGTGGTCAGTCTGTACTGTGCTTTGTCTCCCAAAGCCGCTGCATTAAGGTCGCGGTCCCACCAGTCCCTGACCGTCACACCAGAGCAGTATGCCTGTATTGCTCTGTGCTGCCAGCACACAAAGCACTTTGAGATCCTTTGGGATGAAAAACACCATACAAATGTGAGGTAGTGTTAGTGCGATCTTTTCCACTTGCTAAAAGTCAGACATTTAGTCAGGAAATCCATCAGCACACAGCAACAAAGAGCTCCGCTGCATCTAAATATTCCTCTTGTTTGTCTGCTCTGCAGAATTAGAGATGAGAGACATATGCAAGCACAGTGGGACTAGCCCACCCTCTCTTCCAACTGCATCTGCCTCTGTTTATTATTTTTGCTGCCAGCTCTGTTCCCAAGTGCTGTCTGCTCATCTAGTTACATAGCAGTGCCCTATGGAAGTTCCCTTTGCAAATTAGCAACAGTATCTTAAATAAAGAGGTGACCAAAAGAGTTCAGATAGTTCTTCATAAAATGTGTGAAAGTAAAGAAACTAAAAGTAACAAGGAGGCTGCAAACGACCCTTCTGGGTCCCTGCCCAGTGTCGCTCAAACAATGCACCAGATTGTTGCCATTGCTGCATGTGTTTAGGAACCTTCATTCTTCATGCTTTGCTGAGACTTTGCAAATCTACAGCAGTTTTTAATTCTTCTGTAGATGTGTCTTTGTGTTCAAACTCTTCCTCCTCACTTATGAAGGGCATGTCCATAGGGAGCCTCTGTCTATAGCAAATATAAGCATCACTGTCATGGGAGACAGGCCAAGTGAATAAAATGCAGTCTTGCTTCATCTTTCTTTTGTCATCTCTGTTTATCAGAATCAGTGGCCCTGACAGGCTTCAATAATTAAGTGTGTCAGGCACTGACTGGGACATGCAGTGTACTAATGTAGTTGGAAAAAAGTCCTGACAGGGCAATTTATAAACATAGACACAGATGATAAAACTTTACAAGCTCAGAACTCAATTTGAGATTCATTCCTTCAAGGTATATAGACTGATTCCGAATCAGTGACAGCACAGGAGAATGCATATGCCTGGCAAGAAAACTATTTTAATTGGAAAGAATTGTTAAACATACGGAATATGCAAACTAAGAACATTTTGCACTTTCTGTGACAGAATGTTCATTCGGCTGCTATAATTTGGCCAGATTTTTTTTTAAAAAAAAAAACAAACCCAAACTAGTAACACTAGAAATAATACTTCTAGTGAGAAAGTCTACAATGCTAGAATATGATCACTCAATAATAGTGATACACTGAGGGCAAGTTGAATAATCTGATCCCCTGTTGGTCAAATACTGGATGAAGGTATTGCAGAACTTGATGAATATAGAAATGTTGTGAGGACCAGAACCTAATAGCTGCTGGATGCTGGAGGCTTAATTGGACTTTACAGTGCCTTAGTGCTCATTTCAGTCATGCAAGCAGGATGACACCCTGGAGGACAAGCTCCAGGATGGATTAACACGGTTTCCCAAGATGTTTCCCAATAGGCTGTATAAAAGGAAAATGTCCAGTCCAAAGATGGAGTTAAAGATTTGAGAGGTTTCTAAGCTAGAAGACTACCACAACAAAAAGTCTCTTGTAGAAAGAGACTGATAGTAAAGTTATCTGTGGGTAGTGTTGTTCCAGACAACAGCTAAAAAAAATGCCATGCAAAGTGATATGACTGTCAAAGTTACACATTTCCCATTCATTTTAACAGTAAACCCAGAAAATCTCAGCATTATAGTACATCCTTATATGAAGGAGTTGGCAAATCCCCTGTACAGGTTAGAAGAAAACAGAAAAGAGCCTGGAAAGGAAATGACAAAATTATCAGACACGACAGCAGGTGAAATTCATCCTAGGAGACTGCAAACAGATACTAGGAAGTGCTCACCGTGCTCATGGATGAACTCTCAGAATTAGCAGCAATGTCTTAAGAAGCTCAGTGCAGATGTTCACCCACAGTCAGTGGAGCTGTCCTCCCACCCCCCAGCAACCAGAAGCTCTGTTAATGCAATTCTGTGTATCTGCACCAGATCTTAAAATGCAATTAGTAGATTTGGTCATCTTTCCTCACAACAAACTGCAACAGGAGCATGAGGATGCCAGGGCTCTTTTCTACTAAGAGCCTAAGAGTGGTAGCCAGAGAGACAGCGAGTATTTAATTATAAACATTATAGAGAAGTTCAATTAGGACTTCTGCTACACTCTTTAAGAATACAAAAATAATAGGCAGCTCAGATAATTAAAAGGCAAACGAAGTCTGTTATACAGTGGGTCACTGGCTTTTGGAGTTGGCCGCTGTGACATAACATTTGGTTGAATGACTAGATGAAAGTGCAAAGAACGTAGGCACATACAAACACCAAGAGCAACAGTCAACAAGTAACACTTTCAGAGACTGACTGATGTCACAGCTCATGCTAAAGACCCTAGCCAACCGAGAAAATCAGTCAAACATTTCCCTCTGAAGGAAAGCTTCCTGTTAATAAATATATTGGAAGCATCCTATAATTCCCTTTACTCTCTCTTGAACTGAGCTTGCAGGACTAAATCAGGGTTTTTGGATTCTGACAAGAAAGACCACACAGGGATGCCCGATATTATCCATACTCCACAATTGCTCTTACGGTTAGTGAAAAAGCAATCCACAGTGTGAGAGACTGTCCAGTCATCACACTCTAGATTCCAACTTGCATTTAATTCTGATTTCAATGCCTTGTTTTAACTTCACACATAATTAATCCCCTCAGTTAGTGGGGCAGAGTGAGGAGGAGGGAAGGTTTTTACAAGAAATCAGCTATTGACAGGGAACTATCCTACAGTAACCACAAGATATTGTGAATAGAGTTAGAGAAATAGCTACTATAGGAGATCCCAGGAGGAGTCATCTCCTCTTTACAATGCTGCGTGCTGCCTAGTAAAGTCCAGTCACCTCTCCTCACGAAATTATTTCCCTTGTGATCTGGCTTGACAGCTAAGCAGCATTTCCAGTCCTTGTCCCTTATTTTTGCCATTAGCAGCTTTCCCTTTGGCAATGTGGCAGCTGTCTCCTGCTCCAGTAATTCTGTGGGTCATGCAGCCCATCTCTGTTTTTCCCTCACTCCTCCTCCCATTAACATGTTGTTACATCCCGAACACAGTAAGCAGATAAACAGGCAGCATAAATCACATGCTGAGTAGCCTAACAGAGGAGTTGCATTCCCACCCTCTGCATTCAAAGCAAAATCACAGAGTAAATTAGAGACTGTGTCTTACTTGCTGGGCTGGCTGAAGCACACTGGGCTTAGTATTTTCCGTGTCCTCCTCTTGGTCCTTTTCTGAGAGTCCCTTCTCAGGTTGCTTACATTTGCAGAAGCAGGTGAGACCGCAGAGGGCAAGGATGCTAGTTGCAGTCCCTAAGGTAGCCCCCAGGGCTATAACTGGGGCAGATAAAACCATTGTCCTGTGCTGCACAGCCACAAAAATCACAGAAACCCCGTGTCTCCTTCTCCTCCCTGGGAGAGCAGCTCTCACGCATCCACTCCGATTTCTAGCCTGGCTTCATTCTCCTTGGAAGTCTGAAAACAATTCTCCTGTGCAGCAAAGAAAAGGGACCAATCTAGAGACAGAGATAAATCATCCTACCTTTGCTAGGCAACAAGGCTACCTTTCTATCCTAATGATGAAGTTTCTGCTCCAGGTCAGGTAGAGGAAATAGTGATTGTGGTGCCTGCAGTCTCCATGTAGCTGAAAACAGGCAGTTTTCATTGAAGCCTGTTCTCCAGCTCCACTGGGAAAAGTCTGATGTGTGATAGAGAGGAAAGACGTCAGCAGAAGGGGCTGAGCTTTGCTAGCTAACTCGCAGAAAGTGCATCCAAATGTTTGATCAGCTCTCTACCAGTATTTCTGAAGGCTAGCTTGCTAAATTGATCAAGAGGTTGATTTTTTCTGTCTTAAGGCAAAAACAGTGATTGCCAAAAGGTGCTGGCCTGTGAAGCCCTAGTATGATAGAATTGCATGATAGCACTATAGCCAGAGTAAAGCCTGCGTGTAAGGCAAAACTTTCTCAGTCTTCAGAGTCTGGGGAGCAAACCCATGCAGGAATTAACCACTGTCCCACACCTCACCAGCTTCCCATCAAAGCACAGGGTCTGAACCTTCTGCAGCTGCTTTCTGTAGTATCAGCGCAGAGCAGCATTTCTATTTAAACAGACAACAGAATTCCTATCAAACAAGACACACTGGTGCATAAGCTGCTTCCTCTGGAGAGGAGGAGAGCGCAAACAACATATGCTAAGTATTAGTCATACTGCTTACTACACCGGTGTCAGGCAGTGGGCTGGTGAGCACAGTACGAGAACCTACATGAATAGACCTGAAGGGCTACATGTCCATCTCAGTTTTCTCTTGAGATGATGAAGTGATTAAGTTTTGCTGACCCATTTATTTTTGACTTATTTCTCAGACTGCCCAACTTGGGGAAGAGGAGAATAAATTTTGATGTCTTTCTTGTGACACATACAACCATTTTCCAGGTAGGAAAAAAACAAGGAGTTACCTAGTGGCCAGAAGATAATTATAATTCTGGGTCACTATATATCTGAGCCAGAGTGGAACTAGTAAGCAAGAAGTTAAATATTCCTTATAACGCTCTGGAAAAAATATCCAGTTCTACTGGGAGTTTCTTTGCCTTTCTATTTTAGAATACAGTTGGTGCATGTGGATCAGGAAAAAAAAAAAAAGAACTACATGCACAGAAATGTTTAGAAATTCAGGGTTTTTTGATCTTTCTGCAGCACAGGTTCTGCCATGGATTTTTACTGATTATTTTTTTTTTTGGTATTTCATATCTTACTCATGATGTCTCACACAGCTTTTGTTCTATTATAGATGACATGTCCACCTCCCTGGCACAAAGCTTCCCTCACACATCTGACTCTCACTTTAATTGTTGAAGATTCCTCTGTAACACCGCAGCATCCTCATGGATGCAGTGCATATTGTGTCATTTTACCTTCTCCTCACACTACCACGCTTGTCAGACACGTCTCACGCACCCCCCCACCCCTCCCAAACCTCCTGAGCCCCCATCAAGAAGAGAATCATGATAATCACCTTAAGCAGAGACAATCCCTCAATACAGAATCGCAGAATCATCGAGGTTGGAAAAGAGCTTGAAGATCATTCAGTCCAACCATTAACTTTACACTGACTGTTCCCAAGTGCTGAGCCCATGGAAATTGGCTTTTTAGCTCATCTCACAGAAAGAAAACCTTGAGCTTTACCTTTCGTCTATACAAGAAAATAAAAGTGGCCACACCAGGCTGGACCACTGGCACATGTCTCACTGCACTCAGTAGTAGAAAGATCATCACATAGAGGTGATTGAGAAATCTGACTAAATGCTCCCTTTGCTTCTTGCTCTTCATGGCTCAGGAGCTTCCAAAGCCTTGAGCAGCATCCTTGTTCTTGCCTCTGAATCTGAACTTTCTCTGCCACAGGAGACCTGTTGCAACCATTAGTTGACTTACCTAACAACTACTTCATTCAGCCCGTAGTTGGGCAGGTAACATTGTAATCATAGGGCCACAAGGTCTTATCTTGAATTTGAAGAATGTACCATATTGTTACGGACTTCCACCACCACTCAGGAGATGCAGAAGATAGGACAGTCTGAAAGAAGAGGAAAAGGATGGACGGGCTTTTTAGATGTTTTCGGTTTCCTCCACAGGGTGGGTTCTTCCTCAGGGTGATAATGAAATCTAACACGGCTAGATCAGAGGCCCCTGAGATTGGGAAACCATATGAAAAGGAAGAAGTTGGTGTTAAGGGTAGAGTATATTGGCAGAGATTTGGACTGGAGAAGGCATTCAGTCTACCCATGAGATGCAATCTTCATGTGCTTTCTACAAGCTGTTCCAAGAATTACATAAAGACTCCTTGCAGCAGGCTGTGGAAGGAACACCACATCAAAATCTCTCTTCAGGACAATAATTCAATAGTATATCTCTCCAAGATGTTTTCTAGCTGTTCATAAATGAAGATTAAGATTTTCTTGCCAGAAATTTTGTATGCTGTGAAATGTAAGATGTACAGATTCATCAGCAGATACCATATTTTAATAATAATAGCCAGGCAGCAGCCTTTTCCTGCTGTCTCTAGGAAAACAAGGCAGCTCTTGCTAAACATTGAATATTAGCAGCATGTGAGCTTCTACAAGCAACAGGCCAAAAGATTGCGGAATTTTGTGTGTGCACTGATGCATGTAACTGGTACAGATACATAATTTAACTGCAGCTTTGGCACATACTGTCACTGCATCTATCTCTCATGGTTGCTTATTTTTAACACATCCTGTTCTAAAAAAAAATCGGACCAGAGATGTATTTCAAAGTCAGCTTTACACTTGCTTGTTTTAACACCCAATAATAAAATTGCTGCTTTTCCTTTAAAGCGGTAGTAGGCTAAAATGGGGCCAGGCTTTCTCACTGGTCATTCACACTGATACTGTCCAGAATCACATAGCTTTTTTATCTGTCACATCTGCCACTGGAAAGAGGCTTGCCAAGGCAGAAAGATGAAAGCCTGTTTTTGCAAGCTAAACTTTATGGGCAGGTTCAGGCCTGACAACATATTTTACAGTCACTGTATCCACATATTTTCTCCAGATGCAGTGACAAGACATGTACAAAATCATAAACAGGATTTTCAGCTCCTGTTACTTCAAACATGAATATTCCGTGATGACAAAATATAAGGCACTGGCCAACCTTTAGTGCTTACAGATCCTTTGTTCCTTCTGTGAGCTTTTCCATTGATATTTTGTGCCTTTCCATCCATTGGCTGTACAAAAGAGGCTTTCTCTGAATGAAAAATTGGTAGTACAGATCACATGAAGAATTACAAGAGCTTTCGTATTGCCTGTCTGTAGCTCATGCCTTACCAGAAAAAAACCCTTTAATGCAATTCCCAGCCACTCGAATAAGCTGGGCAGGGATTTGCAACTTTTATTCTGGCATTAGAAGTCACAAAATAAAGTTCCAGAATCCCTCATTATCACAAGGAAAAGCCGACATACATTTGAATGAATGATGGTTGCAGACTGTGTTCCCTGACTCAGCCCATTCTGTCAGGGTATTTGTCAGAGAGACTGATTCTCACTGAGGCATTTCACCAGGCAGAAGTGTGAGTTAACAGACGGAAATGGGAAAGAGAGGTTTCTTTGCAGGGAAATCCTTGTAACAGTCAGATTTAGCCTGAAGGTGCAAGCTCATGTTTTCGCTTGTATTGACTTGTTTTGAGATTCTGAGATTCTGTGCTACAGAAATGGGATGGTTCGAACAGAATGATGGTCTAAAATAGCTTGCTAGATCATAGCAAGGTGTTTACACCACCCAGCTTTGGGCACTGCAATAGCCAGTTAATGACAGAAGACCACATATGGCTGTCATGCATTTCTTTAACAAGGAAATGAAGCCTGATGAAAACAAAAATGAAGGTAAAAGGCTTGTGCTTATAATGACTACATCTACCTCCTTATGCTTTTGTATTCCTCAGGTTGCAAATGCTTTAAGAAAGGGATTTTGTCTTCCTCCAAGTGGTGAAGTATTTCTCCACCAGATGGATAGACCACTAAAATAATCTGTTACAGTGCTATTAAGACAAAGCAGTTGTCTCTACATATTCTTGTAAAAAAAAAAAAAAAAAAAAAAAAAAAATGTCACTGAAACAGACTTGTAGATATAAATCAAGTAAATGAAGTAATTAAGAGAACAAAGAATCATTTTGTAAAAGGGAGGTATACAATGATCAACCTCAAAAAAATGAGCTTCGAGCTGTGGTGCTTCTGCTGGTGTTAATGGATATAGAGCTCCTGAAACCTCCAGATTTACAGGAGTACCCGCCAGCTGCCTGTGTAGCCTTTTTCCCACTCCGCTACCCTCAGGATGATGATAAGGATTTAGCACAGAAAAGGGTACAGCTAATCGCATGCATGCAGTGTAGGGCTCATGGTAAATGGTTCTACTAGGACACTACACTGTCCTGAGACCAAGATCTGTGGGATTCAGGAGAAAAAATCTGTCTGTGTACCTATTTCAGGAGGCTGCCAGGGACCCCCTACCACCAGCAGCAACTGTAAACCTGGCCATGGTGCAGCTCTTGCATCCCCTGTGGCAGCATTGGATGGCTGGGAGGCTCGACACTAGGAAGCAGTGAGAAGGAGCCAAAAAGCCAAAGTGGTCGGGAAGGGTAGCGTGATCCACAGGAGGGTAGGAGGAAAAACACTGGGCAGGACGAGGGAGGGTCTGTACCATGTGAATTGGGCATTGGTGTGACTGCTGCGGGACAAGGTTGGACCCCATTTTACTGGGCAGAGCACACCAACTTGCTGGGCAAATTAGAGGGAGTTCAGGAAAGAGCCACGTAAATGTATAAAAGGCTGGAAGGCAGTGGACTGCAGTGTGACTCAAGGAGGTCGGTCTGTTTATCGATGAAAAGGCTAAGGGGTGACTTGCCCGAAATCCTTAAGTGCCCAGCTGGGGAATAAATCTTTGGTTGTAGAGGGCCTCTTCTTTCAAGGAAACAACACATTACCAGGAGGTAATAACCAGAGGCTGATGCCAAACAAACTCAGAGTAGAAACATGTTGCGGATTTCCAACAGTGGGCATAATTTTGGTGGGAGCAATTTCCAAGGGATTGTGGAGGGTTCTGCATCATGGGTAGTTTTGAAATGAAGACTAGTGTTGTGCAGCTTGTTTTTATGGGACCTATTTTCATTCAGTTACAAGTTAAGCAGATGTTT